CACATTCAGAACATGTATGGGGTGATAACTTTTAAAAGAGTACAAATTCAAAAGTAGAACAATGGACAAAACAGAGAATTCAGAAATAAACTCAATTTGTATATAAATTCAATATCCAAAAAACTTAAGATAACAAAAATTAATACACTTATTCTAGCTCTAAAATATAATATTATTAGTGAAAGCAAGAAAATAAGTAAAATAAATAGCTACAGTGCACCAAAAAAAAAATTTCATGAAAGAAATCAAGTATAGATTTTAAATATATATAATAGATAAAGGTTTACAGAAGCATCAACATGTTGTAAGCACAGTAACTTACTGAACTCTTACTTTGTGCCCAGTGCAAGGCTGGGGCTTGTACTCGGATATTCCATTTGGTAGGGCAACAGTCCTCTCAGTAGGTACACTGTCCCCTATGTATGAGCGAAGGCACGAAGGCATAAGTTAAATAACTTACCCAAAGTCACACAGCTAATAACAATAGAGATAATGATATCCCAAGAAATCAACACTAAACCAAATTTGGGGGAAAAATATCTGATTTTACCAGTAACGAAGTTACGTATAAATACAGGGAATATGATAGAGCAGTTACATGGACCCAAGAATAAAAGTAAAGGCATATCCTAATGAAGACTAGCCAGTTTATGGAGAAACATCTGCATGTATACTGATGGCAATGTAAAATATTTTTCCTATATAAGTTATTATACCCTTTGTTTGGGTGATTTCACATCGAAGAATGTATCCCATGGGAATCCATCCTATGCCTTGCTCCCAAACATCTCTCAAGAAATTGTTCTCAAAAGTTGTAACTATGAAAACATGACTGAAGCAAAATGCTCTTTCATTTTCCTAAACAGGAATCCTCAAAGTTTATGAGAAATGTGCACTCGGGGAAGACTTTAAGGAAATAGATAAATTAATTAAATAACGAATGGGAAAAGTCAGGACATTAATGAACCAATAGGAAACTAGAAACAGACCCTAATTTTAAAAGCCTGTACATGTGTATATGACAGAAGGTTGATAGATAGGAAGTCTTAGAATGGCTTGTGCGTCTTGCTTTGGTGTTTCGGTCCTTTTGAATTCCTGTAGTTGTATATGGTCATGATTTGGAGTGTAGTGTGGTCAAAATAATATGTGCCCCAATAAAAACAGTCCCTTGACTATGGTAGAAGGCCTGCCTGTTTTTGCAAATTCATGTTTCCTGCAATGTCTTATCAGCCCAGGAGTCTCTTGACAGATCGCAACAGAATAGGGAGTGAATATCTGGATCCAACTAGTGAACTTTTCCAGCTATATCTCTCTTGGCCTAAATTGTTACATTTGTGAAATGGAAACCATCAGAGATATACGGTACAATGGAATGAATTCTATCCTGGAATTTAAAAGGTTCAGGGTCTGCTTACAACTCTGCCACTGATCAGCCGTGCCACCTCTCTTAGCCTTTGCTTACTTATCCATAAAATAAAGTAACCCAAAAGAGGTTAGAACTAGAAGGGACCTTGGAGACTAGGGTATATCAACTTTTAAAATGAAGTGCATGTCCCACCCGCAAGGGAATTTCACATAGTGACACTTTCTGGAAAAAATCTCATGTAGTGACACTTTCTTATTGTGAAAACAACAAGTATAATGATTCTGCTTTTTCAAAACGTATTTTAGTCTTTATCATCCTGATACCTATGTGCATTCCCAACCCCAACTCCCACCCTCAGGCAGTTGAGAACCCTCGATCGAGGTTGTCACATTGATTCCAGCCACCCGCATGGCTGACTACAGTTGCCCAGTGTTCCATCCTGTAAGCTTTTGCTACCTCAAACTTCCAAAGGCTTCGTGCATCTTGCCTTCCCCTTTTCCCTGCCTTTATTAAATTAAGTACAACTTCATTGATCTGGATTTCTCAGTGTGGTTTCAACTACCTTCCTAGTCTTACTTCAGTCCCCTGAAGGTAGCTCACATGTCACTACCCACAGCCCCTCTCTCCTCCACCTGTCACAGTTCAACCATCTTCCATGACTCATCTCATCCACCTTCCCTGACCTCTAAAATGGGTATGCTACCTCCTCTCTTCAAATGTCCATGGGAGTTTATTTATGCTTAGCTAGGTATTTGTCACACTTCAGTAAGTTAGAAGGTGCTTGACAGGATGGTGATTGTATCTTACACAGCTTCATAAGACCCAAAGATCCTAAGAAAGCAGTGTTCTCAAACTTCTGGCCATGATCTACACCAAGATATATGTTTACATTGTGACCTACTGTACATATGTGTGTAGGCATATTTATAATTGAAACAAAGTTTTCATAACATAACTCATATTCTTCTTGCCTTTGATGATGAGCTCTAATATTTTCTTTCTTTTCTGTTCTGTTCATTTCTGATCTAAATTGATTTTATGACCCTTAGTCACAGTTGTAAACAAACACCATAATACAGCACATTGCACATAGTAGGTGTACCATTGTATATGTTTCATTAAATTGACTGGGCT